GCTTTATCAGGGGAGACTTGAGGGAAATGCACCCATTTAGGGGCCTGTGCTGGTGCCTTGTTTAGAATGAGCTACCTGTGGGTTTGTCTCTGACAAAGCTGTATGGCAAACTGGATTGCAGATCTGACCTCAGCAATCATCAAGGCCTTAGCAAGACCTTGTGCTAACTTACTCTTTATTCTGCCCTGCACTTTCCCAACTGAGTGCTGAGGGAAGACTGATGTGCTAGTGAACCCCAGCTGTCTGGTGAGCTGTCCTTGCAGCATTTACAGCACCTTTGCTGTCTGCTTTTTCTCTTCATGTTTTCTTTGCTTTAAGATGTCTGAGTGTCAGCTCAGAGATTAGATGTGGCTCTGGGACTCCTGTAGATGACTGTTACTTGTCCACCTTAGTCATGATCAGGAAGATTTTTGTGCTCCTGGGGATGCTCAAAAGGTGAATTCTGATCCCTTTCAAAGAGGGATTTGCCATCCTGCTTTACAGGAAGGTAGTGTCACAAATTCCAAGGTAGATATAATGGTAACAGGCTTTTTGCTCATGCCCTGTTTGCTGTGTTCCCAGCAAGCCTGCGTGCTTGTGATGTAGTCTTTCACAGTACCCATGACATTCACTCTGCTGGTATATTCTCTGTTTATTTGGGCCTTTGCTGGAAAGAGCATGTGACAGCTGAGCTGCTTTTGCAAATGCTAATGAGGAGTTTGACTGTGAGGCACAGGTAGCAGCCGGCTGAGGGTCCATTTTAGGCACAGGTGCTAACTGCTGTGGAATTTCTGTCTCTGTACTCTCCTGTCATGTTGCAGTGGCCTGATGAGGCAGTGCAGGAAACAAGATGTGAGGTGTGGCTGGCACTTAGCAGCTAAACTCAGCAAGACCGCCTGGGTTTATGGCTGACCTGGGTTCCCTTTAGGGTCCCTCTGGCTCTGTGGAACTTTGGGTTGGTGAATGGCTTGGCATGTGCTGTAGCCTCCAGCACTGTTCAGCTGCGTATGAAAAACGATGAGGTCCTTTGATGTCTCTGATCCTGGAAGATAGTAGTCATGCTCACATTAACCTCAGCATCGTTTCTTTATTTCCCTGAGAGGGGCTTTCAGAATGGTGCCTTTGTAAAACAGACAGCAATTTTTCAGTCTGCTAACTTTGTACGTCAGTAACATTCTCCACCAGGGAATGCGGCGTTAGGCCTGTCCCTCCAACTTGTTTGAAAACGTTTTCATTTCAGATAGCTCTGGTGTTTTTACTGGGCTGTTATTAACAGTGCAGGTTTACAATAGGAAGTGAGATTTTCTATAAACAATTGGATTCTGCTGCCTGATTGAGGACTGGCCTATTAACTGAGCCATACGGCATTAAAAGAAGACCCTATTGTAGGGATTACTGCAGATATGTGGTGAAGCACGAGGCCAGTAACTGGCTGAGTTCAACCTGCCAAGGAATGTGATAATCCTCTAGAAATACAAAACACTGGCTATTTTATTAGCGATAGGAAATGGATATTCCATTTGTGACTGGGAAGGTCATACCTGTCTCTGGGTATTAATGTGGCTATATCGCCAGCAGCCAGTGGGAAAGCTTCATGTCTGTGCAGAACGTTAAAGCTGCCTTGCGCTGTCAGATGTTTGGCTGGGTTTTAAGGATGCTTCTATCCACTAGGGCTATCAGAGAATATTGCCTTGCTCTCTGAAGACGAGTGCCTTTCAAACGCCATTGAATGTTTCTGCTCTTGTTAAAAGTTAAGAAGCCTTTGATCTGAAGTGCTATTTTTTTGTTTTTTGTTTCATTTTTTTTTTTTCCCTCTGGCTTGCCAGGGCCTGGGAGGAGTTTCATGGCCTGGTGAACAGCAGTGGCCGCTGATCGAACGCTCCCCCCCCTCTGTCACACCCAGGGTAGGGCCTCATCTTTCTTCCTATGTGACTTCATGGCATACCTCTCAGCTTCCAACCCTCTTCCCACGGTCTGGCATGTTTTCCTCTTGCCTTGTAGGCCTGGTGGTGGGCCCGTTCCACTGCTGGCTTTTTCCCAAAGGTCAAAAAGGTGTGGTTGTTTGTTGTGGTGGTGTGGTGTGTTTGTTTTTTTTTTGACCAAAGACTCCAATATTCACAGTGGTCTGCATTCACTCAGCACTTTCTGTTGCAATGCTGTGTGCTGTGTTGTTAATGTGTCTTTCCACTGTGCAAGCCAGTTGTACCCCAGACCTGGTCCTAGGAGGCTGAGAGGTACGTCTTCAGCTTGGGTCTACTGCCTAGGGTTGTCTGTTAGCAGCTATAGGAGTGGTAAATGAGTGCTGAGCACATCCATGCAATGGATGCTAAGAGAGGTGCCTGGAGCTTGGCATACATGCCTTTGCTCTTGTCAGTGGGCTGGGGCAGAATAAATTAGTCTGTCAATAAAAGCTTGTTCAGGAAGGACACGGTAGCTACTGTATTTAGAAATAAGAATAATGCTGTGGCCCAAGGGATGAAACCACCTGCTACTTCTGGTAATGGCAACCAGCCATGTGCAGAGAAAATAGGCAAGGTGAGCTCAGTGCTGTTGTGATTGTTTTTTTCCCCCCTAGGGCCCACTTTCCTGACAGCAGGCACTTTCTCTAAAAAGGGCTTGCATGAGGCCTTGTGGTGAGGGCTGTGTTTGGTTGTAGCCAAGTGGGGTTGCTGTGTTGCCAAGTGCCAGGGCAGAGGAACCCACTCAGAGAAGCAAATCTATTGTCTGAATCCCCCATTGTGATGGAATATACCTGCTCCAACACAGCTGAGCTCTGGAGAGCTGCTAGGAGTCCCACTGCTCCCAAACCACCTTCCACAGCTTTGGACAAGCAGTGCTTTCATAGTTTGCTCTGAAGTCTTCCTTCCTCGCAGATCTGGGCTTTTGTGAGGATCAGTGTTTACAAAATATTTCACAAGCACTTAGCAGTATTTTTATTGTTAGAGGACATTCAGGTGACCTTCCAGAAGAGAAAACCAGCTCGCTTCATTAAATACCAGTCTCAGAAGGCAGTACGTGTGCCAAGTGGATAGGAAGACAGTGACAGATTTGATTTAGTTCTCCACTATATTGAGTTACCTATGCTAACCAGGGAGAGCAGTGGTGAGCAGAGGGATGGGGGCATTGTGATAATGGTGAGAAAACAAAAGATGGAAAAACTGTTCAAGAGCTGACCAGAGTGTGCCATCCTCCTGGGGTAGATGGCACAGGTGAAAGTACACTATGGGATGAAAAGTCATACTGCTATTGCAAATTAACTGGAATCCAGTTAATGAATTCTGAATCATGTTCCCAGATGGCAGCACAGCCTGCTTTGTTTGCAAGTACAAAGGTGAACCCCAGTCTTCTACAGATAGCCTCCAGCATGTTTTTTTGCTGTCAAGTAATAGCAGAATAACTTGGTTAACTCTCCTGAAGAGTATTTTTGACTTCCTTCTGCTCCTCCAGCTTGCCTCCTGGAGCTGTTCCAGCATGCACTGTGATGTTACGGCTGCCACGTGGCTCTTAGCAGTGCACAAACTTAGCTCAAGGCTTTAAACAGGGTTTTACAGTCATGCAAAACACCTTGCTTCTGAAGCTGTGAGCTGCCTTCACTCTTCAACAAAGCTATCCCACTTTGGTGCAGTGTGTGCTCGGGCATCCTTGGGTGTTCGATTTGGGCATCTTACTGTCCTGCCCTGGTTAGGGAAAGGCCAAACCCATCCTCCCAAAATAATCATCATCTCCTTTAATTCCATTTGGATAAGAAAGGAAACAAACTAAAACAAACCAGTACCTTTCTATTGATGAGTAAATATGCTTTGCCTATTGCTGCTGCTCACAGGCTAGCAGTAAGCAGTAACAGGTTTCTGTAATCTGCCCCATTTTTAATCGCTGCTGCGTCCTGCAAGACTATACAAATGAAGGTGGTGGACCAGCACTCCTTTGTTGGTAGCCCCATGGCTGCATTCATGTGAGTAAAAGCTGCTGAGGAAACTCTCCTAATTTAAATTTAGGGGAACTGTCATTTTCAGATTAAATAGTTCTTTGGTCTCTCCTACCTTAAAAAAGTGAACTTATTGATAATGGGACAAAATATACTGGACCTGGAGACGTGTCCATGAGGACAAATATTTGAGAAGGAAAAGATCTTGCAGTTTAAATCCCAGAATCTGTCAGGGAGGTTTGCAGTGCCTATTGTGTGCTTTGACCGCAGGTTATACCTTTTACTTCCCAATGAGTGATGATGAAGCAAGATCTCCTTGTGTTCTGGAGCAGCAGGTTGGCTCAGGTGGAAGGTCTCTAGTTAGGAAGCAGATCTGCTAAGGAGATTTAACAAGTGTTGATTTGGGTGACAGGCTGGGTTGGCAACACTGATAGCCGTAGTGGGTGGAATCATGGGTGTTGGGATCTGAACAATGCACATATTTAACCTCTTTCTTTCCTCTGTTTTCCAGGGATAATTCAAGCTTTCGAAACACAAAAATCACATTGTGAGAACAAGAGTTGGCACTAAGCTCCTCTCTCCGTGTTGACAGCACTGAGAGGTCTCCACCAGTGCCCTCTGACCTCTGAAGGGACTCATGGGCCACTCTCGCACTCCTCCTCGGAGGAAGGATCCATCTGAAGCCCTCCAGCAGTGGTGATCATAGAGGCTGATTTTGTCATACACAAACTTTTTTAGCAACGGGGCGGGAGGCCAACCTTTCGATTAGCAGTGTGCCCTTGGGGCCGCATCTTGCAGCACTTTCCTCTCTTTCTGTACATGGCATGCAGGATCTCTGGGATTCTGCCTTGATGTCAGAGCCTTTCGCTGAGGGATACCAGTATTATAAATCTCTCTGCAGCTGGGAGGAGCTTCCCAGTTGAGAGTCAGCCCCATGGTTTTCAAATGCCCACTTTCAGCTCTGCCAATAAATTATTGGGTCTCTTTGTTTCTTTCAGTCTTTTTTCTTCTGCTTTGTCTAAAATAGTGACATGGTACTTCTCTAGTCTGTGGTGAGGCCCTAGAGCTGTTTCTGATAGCTCCATCTTTCCCTGAGCTACCCAGCTCCATGACCCTTAGCTCTGCAGCAGCAAAGCACTCCAAGTGCCAGTGGTGGTCAAACTTCATTGTACTGGGGGAGTTATGTGGACACACAGTAGTGCAATAGTTCATTTGAAGAATGAGATGATTACTTGGTCTTTGCTGCTTCTTCATATTCCCTGGTTAGCAGTGCCTTGCACTCAGCCTTCCATGCTGGGGAGAGGGCTGCAAGCTGCCTTTAAACTAGGACAAAATGGTATTTGGTGTCATTTAATTGCTATACTCCAGCCATCTCACTGGAGAACCATCAGGAGAGGATGAGTGTGGGGCTGTACATGCTTCTGTAGGCAGCTGAGCTGGGGTGTGCTGTTGTTTGTGAGTCTCCAGCCATCTGCGAAATGGACCCCAGTGGCTGTAGTGAAAGAGGGTGATGGCCTGGACTGCTGCTTGGAGCTGCATGGAAGCTGTGACCCCCTGTCTCCTGTGCTCTGGGTAAGGCTGGACTGATGGGTTGCTGCTTGGAAAGCCAGCATGCCTGCAATTCAGATGCCACAGAAACAATAGGAGCTAATTATTTCCTCTGATTCTGCTTGACTACAACACTAATTGTACTCATTAACAGCTTTAGCCTTTCCCCTCTTCCTTAGGGAATCGCACAATTGCCTTTCATTTTTAATAGAGCCTTTGCATGGGCCTGAGGGGGAGGCTGCGGCCAGAGCTGGGGCACACCTCCTGCCCTATGCTCTCTGCACAATCCCCCAGGAGAAGGGGCTGCTGGGACCTATTCAGTAGTGACTGCAGAACCAGCAACCTGTGTCTGGGACAAATTCTGGCCTTGGGGCCCGGGAGACCTTCAGCCTCATGTCTCCAAATTGCAAATTCCATGTTATTATTGAAGTCTAGACTGAAAGCAGCCAGAACCAGCAGAGAAGACAGCCTGAAATAATTCAATCTTCTGAAGGGCTTGTTTTCCGCATTGAGGGTTTCAGTCCCAAGTGGTCTCTGGAAGCATTCAACGCAGTGACAGCAATGACAAACTGCCACCTGCGGCCACCTCCCCACGGCCATGCAGCTTGTACCTCCTGGCATCTGGCTGGGCAGGTGGGAGAGGCCATTTCCCTGACGGTGGCATTGCTCTTCGTGTTTCTTAACACAGCCCTATTTCTGTTCTTGCCACTCGTTTTCCACCAGCTTTCAACCAAATGATCTTTCCCAGGTGCAGTTTGTTTTCCCCACTGTGATCAGGTACTACTACAGTTGCTACTTAAAATTCCTTTTAAATACAGCTCTCTCCTGCTGCTCTCTGGTATTTGTTATGGGGATTTAGTTGTAATTACATTTTAGCAATCTAAGCAAAAATAGCCTTGCAAGGCAAGGCTGAAATACTAGCTGCAGGCTCCTTTCATCCACAGTGCATTTAGCTCCTTGCAGATGACATCACTTAGGGCTTTAGTCCTGTTGTTTTGCCCAGCTGTGCGTCATGTCCACATCTGCTATTTCATGTACTCGCCCACTTCTTGCCTCTGATACCCTGTGTCTAAGCTGGTGCTGATGAGTGCAGGCTTGCTATTAAATCTGAAAACGCTGCAGTCCTGCTGTGCTCGCCCTTAAGTAATCATTGCAAGGGAAATGCGGAAGAGCCCTTCCCTGGGGCTGTTCTTTGCTTCCTGCTGTCACTGTGGTGGAGGTTGGTGGAGGTCTGGAGGAAGCCAGCACTGGTTCCTGTTAGTTGAGGAGTGAACTGAGTCCTGCTAGTATGAATGGTGAAAAGATGATCATAATTTGTTTGGGAGGGGAAGGAACCTGTCGTGCTCAAGCATAGGTTTCACATCTTCATTCAGGAAGCAAGCTTGTGTAGGAGCCCCAGATCTGTGCTGAGTCATGACCTTCCCTGCTCTCATCCTCAAGGCTTTGTCCACCCTTAAGCTTGCCCAGATCTCTGTGTAGCAGCCTTTGAGTAAACCACCAGTGCCTGGAACTCCTTCAAGCTGTGGAGTCATTGCCAGGTCTTTGCTTTCCCTGGGCAGGGGATGCTGGGCTGTGCCAGGCTGTGAACTGTGGCTGCCTGAGTACAGCTGATGGCTGGGCTTTGGGTTCAGAGAATGATGGTGGGAGCTTATGGGGTGTTTCCAATCTGGAACCAAGGAGGAAAACTGCTTCCTGACTCAAAAGAGGTGAAAGGAGTCCCCAATTTTGGAGGTGGAGAAGGTGAGTATTGGTAGGCAGGGGGAGATGTTGCTCTTATTAGTGCTTCTTGATGGGGCACATGCACCTGGAGTTGGTGCTGGGCTGGAGGAGATCTTTCCCTTTTACAGCACATGCTCTGCAAGCTCTGGGCAGGGTGACCTGCAAAGTGTTTCCCCCACCAGAGCTCATCAATGCTGCACCTTCTTAGGGAGAGAAAGGCCAGGGGCTGGGGATGTGGCTGGTTCTACAGCTTAGGGAACTGAGATCAGCTCCTGTCCCTCGTAGGGCTGGGAGCGTTTGGCCAGGGCTCTCCCATCCTTTTAGCCACCCTGGGCCTGATGATGGGACATCAATGTGTATGGCTATGGGGGCACAGGGGCGAAATGAGGCCATATTGCTGTGCGTCTGCTGGCGACATGTATTGCCTGCCAGCATTCCCAAGCTGGCTCCCGCACCCCCCTGCCAGTAGGGACAAAGCTGCAGGTCCCAGGGGTCAGGGAGGAGCAGGGGAGGGACGCGTGGGGGCAGAGGGAAAGGGTTGTGCTCAGTATATGAGATGAGGCACTGAGGTGATGCTTGTAACATGGTGGATGCCAAGCAGCACCATCCCCAAAGAATATTTGGGTGCTCTGTTCTTTTCACTCAAAGCCACTTGCTGGAGCTTGCCAGGAAGCAGGAGCAGTTGAATTGCTGTGGCTAGAATAGAAGTGGAATGAGGAATTGCCTGTCCTCACTTATGGCCCCATTGCTGCCCCAATGCCACCATGGCTGTGGGGATACCAGGGTCTGCATTTGTCCCAGTGTTGAAGCTGTGGATTTGCAGGAGGCAATGTGAATCTCACTGCTAGTACATCTTGCAGTGCATGGCCCATCAGATGCCCAACTCTGCTCTGGTTCCCCCTTGTCCCACCCCTCAGTGCCTCCATGAGGTGCTGTGTGGCTTGAAGGTCTGTAGCAGTGTCCCTGTCCCCAGCTAAGTGCAATCCTCAGGGTCGTGTCAGGGCTGTCCAATGAGAGTAACACCTCCAATGGGTACAAAAATGTTCAGGAGCTCATGAAACCACCACGGGCTTTACTTCTGCTTTCAGCACAACCACAGCCACCCCATGCTCCCGTCACCACTCTTGGTACTGGGAGCCAAGTCTGGGGACCCCCAGACCCTGCCATTTGGACCTGTCATGGGGGCAGGTACGTCTTGGGGTCCCCAGGGAAGGGCAGAGCGGGCGCCTGGTTGAAGTGAGCCATGAGGAAGATGCCAATGGTGCCACACACAAAGAGCGAGGCCATGATGAAGAAGCAGACGCGGTCAATCACTCTCCCCACCAGGATCCACTCCTCGTTCTCCTGTTGGCTCATACCAAGGTGATGATGAGGGCCCATCCCACCGCCCCCAACCCCTCGGTGCCATGTGTCCCCAACTCACACTGCTGAAGTCGTTCTGCTCCCGCGTGGCGTTGGCGATGTGGTTGCAGGCCTCAACGCACGCCCGGATCTCAGGGCTTGCCTCCTCCAGGCTCTGGCAGAAGTCCTGTGCACAGTTGTTCTCCAGGCCACGTCCTGCACGACCCGGCATCACTCAGTGCATTGGTGAGTGCCCCACATCCCTGCCCAGGTGGTACTCGCTCACCAATCTTTTCCAGCACGGTTTTCATCAGTCCATCCCTCTCCTTCTGCTTCTCAAAGAGAAGCTCAGTCCGGGCTTTCCATAGCATGTACTCATCGGCTTTCACCATCAGCCCCAGGGAACTGCGTCGCCGGGTGGCTGGTGGTGGCCCCGGGGCTTCCTCTGGCATGTGCATGCCCAGGTAGCGGGGCAGGAGGTGCAGCCACACCTGGGAACATGGACACGACCCACCCAAGTTGCCCAGGTGTGTTTATGTTCCCCCCCCATTGGGGAGCATCCCATTAGGGTACACATGGGCAACTACTGCTCCCCAATGTTCAGCAGCTTGGTGGCACTGTGTGGTCCCCTGGGGACATCTAGGGGTACCCAGTCTGCAGGGGGGACCAGAGATACTGACCCCATTTCCCATGGGGCAGGAGAATGGAGACAGGTACCTGGCGCACCCTCTGAGACATGGAGTGAGTGTTGGGTGTTCTCAGTGAGACGTTGAGGACGATGACAGCATTCACCACGATCACCACTGTCACCACCATGAGGAAGGTCAGGTACCTGGGGAGGGAACATGGAGCCTCAGCAGGCAGTGCGACCACTGGGTTACAAGCTGTGATAAGTCCATTTTGATACCAGAAGAAGCTGGGGATCAACAGTGGGACACAGGCATGTGATAGCCCTATGCCAGCCCTGCACATGGAGGGATGGTATGTGGCTGTGAGCCCTGGTTCCCTGTCCCCTGTCTACCTAGAGTATGGGCAGACTGGAGGTGGTTTCCACCTGCCCATGGCACCTGGAGATCCTGCTGGCATGGTGCTCCCCATCCCCTTGCATCACTTACTTCCCAATGAGTGGCACTGCCTGGGAGGTCTCGGGCACCTTCTGGGCAATGAGGAAGAGAAAGACGGTCTGGGCCAGAAGGACGTTGATGGAGACGGTGCACTTCTGCCCCCCCGCTGACAAAGCAAAGGGTAAGGTTGGCGGGGGGCAATGGTGTGGGCATGGCACTGCTTTCCAAAGGGGCTGCCATGCCCCAGCGCTGACCCAACCAAGTTCTACAAGAGAGCTTAACTCTAAGATGCCCAGAAATCCACCTCAAATCCCAAATATAATAGAATCATTATGGCTGGAAAAGAGCACAAAGACCATTGAATTCAGCTGTTGACCCATCACCACCATGCCCACTAACCCACGTTCCTATTACTGCACCTTTGTGCCCACCAGCTAGAGTACCTTTGGCAGGTAGAAAGTAAACCAGCACAGCCATGGAAGAGATGAGGACGCAGGGCACGATGATGTTGATGATGTAGAAGAGCGGCTTGCGTTGGATGATGAGGTAAAAGATCACCTGCTGGTACTGGATGTCGTCCGGGGTGAAGCGCCCCGAGTTGATGATCTTCCGTGCAGGGCGGTGCTTGATGGCCCATTCTCCATTCTCTGCCATGTAGCGATGCCACCATTTGAGTCCCCACGTCAAAGTGGCACCAGGTGGGAGGAAAGGGCCATGGCCACCATAGAGAGCTGAGCACCGAGGGGTGCTCCAAAGTTCCCCTGGAAGCTACTGGAGGGGATACCTGCAGCCCTCTGGGGATGAGTTATGTGCGGGGCTCGGAGTCCCCCATCTCCCTGCCACCAGGCAGCCGTGGGGAAGCCGAGCGTGACGCTTTATTAAGGCACGTTGTTTTCCCCCGCTGTCTGCAGGAGCGATAGATTTTTCCCAATCAAGATCGCAGCTTGGGCCGGTAATGAAAAAATAAATCTCGCTGCCCGAAAAGCATTTTGTTCCTTCAATATGCAATTAAAATGTGATGGAAAACGTCATCGTTTGGCCGTGACAGATACGTTCCCAGTATCAATCAAACTGCCAGGAGCAGCTCTCCAGGAGGGACTGCCAAGCGGTGAGTGCTGCGAGCCGGGGGGGCTGGTAAAACAAATCTCTCCCCCCCTGCTCCCTCTTCCACTAATAACTTAAGTGCCCGTGTAATGGCAAGGGCTGCTAACAGCCCCCGCCCCCTGACACTGCCTGATTTCAGCAGTCACCGGCATTGCTGCAGGCTGTGGGGCATCATGGAGTGGGGTGCTTGTCCTTGGAATGTTTGTCCTTGGGATGCTATTGGGGGGTCATGGGGTTACCTGTAAAGGCTTCAGGGTCAATGAAGATCCACTCTATTGTCTGGCCTTCCTCCACTGTCAGCAGCAGGTTGATTTCGTTCGCGCTGTAGGTCTGGGACCTGGGGAGGGGCAGAGGGATGGCACCAGTGGGAAAATAGCAGGGAAGGTTGGCAACCCCGCCCACGGCAGAGGTGTTAGTACTCAACAGTCTTTGAGATCCACTTTCTTCTAAGCAGTTCTATGAAAGTGACACTGTGTCATGCCAGTCACCCATGTCCCTGCTGTATGGGAGTTTAACTGGGCAAACATGTCTCTTGTCACCCGTGGTTAACCAGGTGCCAGGTCAATGGCACTCACATTCTGGGAGTCATTGAAAGATGCCCACTCTGGAGCAAAGTGGGACATCTCGCATCTGTCCCTATGGGGCCACCCCCAACACCACAAGCTGTGCTCACTGGAAGACCATGGTGCAGTTCTGCCAGTCAAAGGGGAAGTAGGTGACGTGGATGGAGCAGGAGCTGCGGTAGATGGCGGGAGGCAGCCAGTAGATGCTGCCATCTGGGTACACCAGCACATTGGTGTAGAGTGTGATCTCGAACGTCCCATCGATGCTGGGGGGAAAAGAGCAGGTTCAGCCCCAAAGTGAGGCCAACCACATGTGGGAAAGTGTCCCTGCTGTACCCTAGTGTGGCCTCACTTGTTCTCCAAGACAATGTCAGGCAGCCAAACCATGGTGGAGGGCACCCGCAGCTGCTGGATGTCATCGTATTTATCAGGGTCCCACCGCAGGCGATAGTCAGACCATTGCTGGAGAAGGGAAGCAAAATGTAGGAGTCATGGTACTCCCTGGGGCTGCCCCAAAAGGAGCACCCACAGCAAGAAGTGTAGGTTGTGGTGCCAGCCCACCACAAATTGCCAGCAGGGGTGATCAGGGGGTGTCCTGCCTGAGGTCTCACCATCTCGATCCAAACATTGGTGGTGAGGGTCTCTTCCCGCTCATTCTGACAGGGAAGGAAGGGGGGAGGCACCTTTAGCTCCACCATCCCATCCCACCGGGGCCACCCAGCTCCAGCAGCATCACCCCAGCACCCCCAAATCCATAGTGCCGAGGGGGTCTCACCAGGGAGATGAGGTTGGTGAGGGTGAGTTTGAGGGTGACGTCAATGATCTGGTCCCCACGCAGCGCTGGGCGTAGGTGGCGGTTGTAGTTGGTCATCAGGTCCTGGAGCAGCTTCTCCTCCTGATTCTTGCAGCTTATGCCTTGGGAGGGGGGGGGGGGACACCCCAGGAGGGGACGGAAAGCTTAGTGCTGCCCTTGGGGCAATACTGATATGGCTGGGGGGCGTGTGTGGGGAAGGGCTGCACTTAAAGCCTCTGTGGTGTGCAAGCAGGGCATGGGGACAGCGCACATGGGGACACCCCATGGGGACAGTGCACAATGCTGTGCACCCACGGGCGACAAAACCCCAGGGAAAAGGTGGTGGAAGGGGACACCAGGGACCCTTTAGCCTCCCCTCTCCCTGGAGCTGCCCCTCTCCCCGGGGTGGGCACACCTTACCTGGCAGGGCACAGAGGGTGAGGAGAAAGAGATCGGAGCAGCGCATGTTGGAGCTGCAGGCGCAGGGCTGGGGCTCTGCTCAGTCGCCTGCGCACCAGCGTTCTGGGCCTGGCGCCCACTGGGATGGGACAGCTGTCCCTGACCCCATCAGCTGTTCTCAGCAGCAATGAGGGATAAGGGAGGGGTGGGTGACAACCCACGTCTCCCCTTCTGTGCTGGTGGGGTGATGGCAATGTGCTGGGAAGAAGAGCTGGATTTGGAGTTGGGGACCAAAGGAGCTCCATGCCTCAGTTTCCCCATACCCCCTGAAGTGATGTGTGAAGCTCCGTAGTAGAAATCTGCAGCCATGTGTGCACTCTTGCAACCCCCCCAGACGGTGCTTTGTGTCCCCCTTAGTGGCCACTAGTAGTCCCCAGGGTGGGGAAGTCCCCAGCTCAGTCTGGGGAGCAATGCTTATCCCAAGGCTTTGAGTCCCATCCAGCCCCATGTCAGTGCATTCCTGGCTTAGCGGAGAGGATGTGACAGCTGTCCTGGGCCCCCACCGGTGTGGGGACATCAGCTGTGTCCCTTGAAACCGGAGCTGTGCAGGGAAGGAGGCACCCTCTGGGCGCCAGTGGGGCACTGAGTGATGGGACAACACTTGTGGGTCTGAATGGGGGTTGTGGGTCCCATTTAACCACCAGTTCTGCACCCCACATTGTGAAGCACTCAGCTTTATTTCTCCTAGCTGCAGAAGGTAGGCAGGAAGGAGTGGAGGGGCTACCTCCTAGCCATAAAGGATCCCACCCCCACTCTCAGGGCTGCCCTATATGTAGCGCTTGTTCTCCTCCCGGTAGTCAAAGGGGTCTCCAGAGAAGGGCAGTGGTGGTGGGTGGTTGTAGATGCCCATGAGGAAGATCCAGAGAGTGCCCACCACCAGCATGGGGGTGATGAGGAACAGGCAGAGGCGGTCCAGGGTGCGTGCCACACGGTTCCAGTTGTCCTTCTCCTGGGGAGGGAGCCAGCAGCAGAGCATGGGGAGCCCAGGGATCCCACTCTGCCCCACCATTCCCCACTGTGCCCGTCGTCCCCACCTCATTGTAGCTGTTTTTCTCCCGCATATGCTTGACAATGAAATTGGCCTCATCTAGGGTGGGTTTCAGGTGATCATAGAGCTGCTCCTCGCTTGTGGCTGCTGGTGCAAAGCCTGGGGACGGGATGACCCTGAGCTCCCAAGGACAGCAGCCACCCATCCCGTGTCCCCAAATTCCCACAGGGGGGCTGAGGCTCACGGGCAGGGGTGACACGGCTGGACAGCCCGTGCCTCTCCGACTGCTTCTCAAACATGAGCTCGCTGCGGGACTTGACGCTGTAGTACTCCTCTGCCTTGGCGATGTACCCAGCCGAGCTGCAGCGCCGGATGCACGGGGCACCTGCTGGGCTCTCAGCTGGGTGTGACATGTGCAGCAAGCGAGGCAGGATCTCCAGGAACACCTGGCATAGGACATGCCACCGTGTCCCCACTTTCTGTCCTCAACCCAAGCATGTAACTGCCTGGGGTGGCGCAGATTGGACACCCCGGTGCCATGATGCACAGTGGCTGCCCTCCCTTGCCCATCACCCCTTCACCTCTTTGACCCAATCGGACATGATGTGAGTGCTGGGAGTGCGGAAATGGAAGTTGAGGACCACGACGCAGATCACCACCACGGCCGTCACCAGCAGCATGATGAACAGAAGGTACCTGTGGGGGTGGGGGACACAGGTCTGGGGCTGGTATAGTTGCAGGAGTCTGGGGAGATGCAGAGCCATTCTGTGCCACCCTGGGACTGTGAGATGTACCCAAAACTCACTTGCCAATGAGGGGGATGGCGTGGGAGGTGGCAGGCAGGCGCTGGGAGATCAGCAGAAGGAAGACAGACTGGGCCAGGAGAACCGAGATCACCAGAGTCATCTTCTCACCACCTGGAGAGCAGAGGGAGCCGTCCCATGTCCCCTCCCAGTGTCCCACCCTGTACTGCTCCAGATAAAGCTTTATACTCTAGGGGTAGCCTAGGGTCCCATTTGGGTTATCCTATGCCCTGCTCAGGGGTGGCTGGATGGTGTCCTGCACAGGGTTGTCATAGTGCTGTTTTGGACATTGGGGTATCCACATGTTCCACGATAGGTGTGGGACATGGGTGTCCCCATGCCCAGTGCAGGTGCCACTCACTGTCAGCAGGCAGGTAGAAGACAAGAATGGCCATGAAGGCAATGAGGACACAGGGTGTGACGATGTTGATGACGTAGAAGAGTGGCTTGCGCTTGATGATGAGGTAGAAGGTGATGTCCTGGTGCTCGCTGCTCTCAGTGGGGTAGCTGGGGTGAATGTTCTTGCGAGCCGGGCGGTGGATGATTTCCCATTCGCCATTTTCTGTTGGGACACGTGGGACAGCATGGGGGACCCTGAGCCCCTTACAGGGTGTCCCACTGACCCAGGACACAGCAGGGAGCACCAGCGCTACCCGTGAAGCCTTCGGGGTCGATGATGATCCACTCCACCCGGTAATACTTTTCAGTCTCTGGGTCACTCTCCTCCTTCAGGTGCATGCTGATCTCCTGTGCATTGTATGCCAGTGAGCTGAAATGTGGTAGGTTACAGGCGGTGAGGATCTGTGCCTACCTCTTTGTCCTTCCTCCCCATCCTCTGGCACAACAATTGGGAACATGCCAGACCCAACACCTGAATTTGAGGGAGCAATTCTGCCAATCAAAGGGGAAGAAGTTGACGTTGATGGGGCAGGCACTGCGGAAGATGGCGGGGGGCAGCCAGTAGACATAGCCAGTGTTGTAGACCAGCACATTGCAGTAGTAGGCGACTTCAAAGAGCCCGTCATTGCTGCATGAGAGAAACTGAAGTGGTGGCAAGGCAAGGGAGAACCCTGGGTACTGAGCACAGCTCTGGCTGAGGATGCTTGCCCAGGGAAATTGGGGAGGTGAACCAAGCTCTGCTCACTTGTTCTCCAGGACTATCTCAGGCAGCCACAGCATCTCTGGCAGCAGGCGGAGCACGTTGACACCCCCGAATTCAGATGTGTTCCACTGCAGGCGGTAATCAGTCCAGCTCTGGTGGGAGATACCCCTGAGTCACCTCACCATGACCAGGCCAATAACACCCCTTGCCCATGGATTTGGCATGGGAATGACAGTACTGAGAGGGAAGAGGGATCGGGGCAGGAGTTTGTCAGTGATGGCCCCAGTCCCCTCAACCCCTCCTGTCCTTACTCACTTGTTCGACCCATACGTTGGTGGTGAGTGTCTCGTCCACCTCTTTCTGCAATAACACGGAGGACACTGAGATGCCATGGCCATACCCCCTGACCAAACCAAGACCTTCAACCCAAGGCAGCCCTTGGAGTACAACAGGACCCCAGGTACTGCCCACTGGGGCTCACCAGCGAGATGAGGTTGGAGAGGGTGAGGGCCAGGTAGACATCCACAACCTCATCGGCAGAGGCAACGGGGCGCACCTCCTTGTTGTAGCCTCTCTCCTCAAAGAGGTAATGGATGAGCCGCTCCTCCTGGTTAATGCAGAGCCCACCTGGGGGGCTCGAGGTCAGGCAGAGGGAGTGGGCAGAGGCAGACAGAGGGTGTGGGTGCACAGCATGTCAATGCCATGCAAGGGCAGGGAGGTGGGCACCCAGATGTGGTGCACGGGCACAGGAATGGCACGCTTATGGGAACACATAGGCATGCATGGACACGGAACACAGGGATATACGAACATATGAATATAGAGCCATGTAGGGACAAATTAGTAGAAGATGCCAGTGCAGAAGCCATGGCATTGGGCACGGAGGTAGGTGCACACATGGACATAGACTAGGACACATAAGGATACACGTGCGCTCAGCTGGGACACAGACACCACCACCCCAGCCCCAACCTCACTGCAGTGACACAGGAACCCCCAGCATCCTTGTACCCAAACCCCACGGCTCCGCTCACCCGACAGCACCAGTGCCCCAAACAAGGCCAGCAGCACTGCCATGTCCCCCATGCGGTGCCCGCGGTGCCTTCGTGCCGTGCCAGCTCCTCACCACCTCCCTGCTTGGCCTGCCTGAGCGGATGTCCGGCCGCAGAGATGGATGGTGCCAGGTGCTGGGGGGAAGGCTGCCGGCTCCGGATACCCACTCTGGCCCCCCTGCTTCCGGCACCCCCACGCCCAGAGAAGGGAGACAGGCAGGAACAGCTGGGCTCACCACCCCTCAGTGCCATCTCCGTCACCTGAGCACTTGGAGGAGCAGTCCCTTCACTGCTCAGCAGATGCTGCTGGGAGATGTGGAGGTGTTGGCACCTAATCAGTGCCTATGGCACATATGGTCTGACACTGGTGTGAGTTTTGGTGAGGGTCCCCACTTGGGTGGCACAGGGTGCTGTACTCTGGGGTGAAGGGTGCTGTGGGTAGTGGGAACCCAACCCCAACTCGATGCCAGGAGAAGGACCTGAGGATGGGGGACATTTCTTGGGGGTGGGAAGTGATGGGGGGAGATGCACAGGGGCGTCACATCCTGCTGATGCCCACCTCACTGGCACCGCTTGGCACGTCACTTGTTTCATCCTCACCAGCTACCAGAAAATAGAACCTTTCTTTATTGAAAAATAAACCTTTCTCTGTACAAATAAATAAGAGGTGCCCATGGGGAACAGGAGTCATTCCTCATCCCCTGCCAGCACCCCTAGGTTTTCAGAGCCTCAAGTGCCAAGGCCACGAGGCCAGGCATGCTGCGTGCCAGTGAGTCACTCTCCAGCCCCACCAGTCCAGCAAAAGCCGTGGGTCGGCCGCCCACTGTGGCCCGCACCTGTGCCCGGTACAGCCCCTTGGTGTTTTTGGAGCTCAGGTCCACCAGGATCTGCAGGAGGAGGAAAACGCTGTCAGCCCCACAGCTGGGGAGACAGTTACATGCTGCCAATAGCACTGCTCGCACCTCCTGAAAGGTCATGGCCAGATCTGGCTCTGGCACCTGCAGCACCCAGGCGTAGAGCTCCTGCACCACGCCAACCCGCAGTGCAGAAGCATTGAGGCCGGGGCAAGCTGCAACTGGGGGGAAATAGGAGAGAGATGGAGGGTGGGTGTCAGGGGTTGTGTGGGGGCTCCATGCCCAGCAGCCAGCCTCAGGCTGGTGAGCAATGCTGGGGTTGGATTTGTCACCATCCCCATAGCATCACATAGCACAGGTGCTGCAGGGTGCTTACCTCTGCCTGCCTCCTCCCCTTCTTCCTCCAGGCCCGGCATTGTGGGCACCAGCTCTCGTTTCTCTCTGTGCACTGTCCCTGCATGAAAACGTAATTGGTGATACTCTCAGTGGGCACTGCCTGGGCATGGAGCTCAGTGCTGGATACCCCCACACTCCACCAGTCCCATACCTGATCAGCCCCATACCCTACCAAACCTCCCCCCCAGGGCTCACAGTTCAGCACAGGGTTCCCAATTGGCTCTCCAGTTGGCTCTCTGAGTGCCTGCGTGGCCTCCAATGGTGTGTCAAGGTCCATCTCTGCCTGGAGCTGAGTGAGGAAGGCTCTGCCCTGTCCCACCAGCTCCTCCACCAGCTCTTCACCCTGCTACAGGGAAGGGGAGGGGGACAGTGCAGACAGTGGGGCACCCATGGGGTGCTGCAGGGGTATGGTCCCTGCTGGCACCACCATAGAGGTAGTGCTCCTCTCAGCCCATTTCTCTCCAAGTACCTGTAAGAAGAGCCATGTCACCTCAGGGAGCTGCTCCCCTTCTGGGGTGGGTGCCAGAGTGCTGCCCTCCCCTGTGGCCCTCAGAGCCTGCACCCAGTCCTGCAGCCGCGGCCCCATAGTCCCAAAAAACTCCCTGAAGGTGGGCAGCTGCCTGCAAGCACAGCAGGGTGAGCTCAGGTGGGTGCCTGGTGCCACCCATCCCCTGGGCACTGCCACCTCGCATGCACCCCTAGTGGGTCCTGGGAAGAGAAAGACCCTGCTGATGAATGCAAGAAGCCACATCAGTGCTGACCTCCTCAAAACCTGACCCCCCCTCTGCCGCAACCCATGATGCCCGCACATCCCCCTTTACCTGTGGGTTGGTCTCAGGGGTCCCTCAGGTGTGGGGTGCTCGACCATCACTTGGTCTACAGAGACAAGCAGGAGGAACAGAATGTTGGGCAGTCTAGGGCAGGGTGTTGGTCCTCCAGCCATCAGCACAGGGGTGGCACATCCCCAAAGGGAGCCACAGCCCATGTGGGTACCTGGGGCATCCCTACGGATGCGGACGGGGAAGAGATGACCATAGATCTTGCCCAGGAGCTGGGGAAGAGTGCGGGTGAGGAAGGAGAAGTCAAGCTGGTTTCGGATGAAGTCCCCAGCCCGGCGCAGGAGACCCACCAGGGTCTGGGCATAGGAATGCAGCTCTGTGGGTTCAGCAAGAGAGCTGTGTCCCCAGCCCCATGCCAACCCAGCTCAGTCCCCCAGCCCCGTGCCATCACTTCATCTCACCGCATCGCCTCATCCGGGCACGGCACGTCTCATCGGCAAGGTGGGTGCAGCTGGCTCGGCCTGGGGCAGCCCGGCAGGACCCCGCATAGAAGGAGCAGAGACGGGTGTGCTCGAGGGGCTGCTGCTCAGGGGGCAGCTGGGACAGGGCCAGCAGGTCAAAGCAGCTTGGCTCCCGGCTGCCAGGAACAGCTGTGAGGGCACAGTGCTGCTGTGAGATGCTGAGCCCCCTGGGGTTTCACCCCATGCCCCACACTGGCACTCACAGTCCATCTGCAGGCTGAGCCAGTCGGCAAAGGCAGCCACGCGAGTGTAGACACCCGGTTTGCCCCGCTCACCACAGCCATCACCCCAAGAGGTGATGCCATAGAGGACAAAGCGGTGCGAGGAGGGGTCCTGGCACACCAGCGGACCACCCGAGTCACCCTGGGGGGGACATCTGCACATCAGTCCAAGCAGACAGGGCTGTGTGCTCACCCCATGCCCAGGGTACTGCCATGTTGTGGGTTGGCATTACCTGGCAGGAATCGATGCCCCCAGACAGATACCCGGCACAGAACATGGCGCTGGTGAGCAGCTCTCTGCCCAGAGCTGCCCGGCATGTCTCCTGGCTGAGCAGGGGCACCTGTGCCTCCATCACCACCTCGGCCGATGGCCCCTCTGCCAGGCAAGGTGCCCATTATGGGTATCCCATGCTTGGGGTGCCCACACCCTCTTCTTTTTGCTCCTTTGGCTTGGTGGCTCAACACCAAGCACAGACCCCATGGGTGCTAGGTGGCACCTACCTTCATACAGGGACCCCCACCCCGCAATGCGGCAGGGGGTGCCGGGGCTGGGCTCGGTGGTACCACTGGGCAGGCACACGGGGCTCACGGTGCCCGATGGTGCCAGCGGCTCCGCCAGCTCCAGCAGCGCCAGGTCCCCATGAAACGTCTTGGGGTTGAACTGAGGGAGGTGAAGGGAGTGTAGGTGAGGAGTTATGGGGAGCATAGGAATGACCTGGGAGTGCCCACCTCCACCAACCTTGGGGTGAGGCACGATGCGTCGCACAGGCACCTCCCGCTCCCCGGGGTCCGCCTTGCCCAGTTCGTGGTCACCCACCACCACCGTCCACGCCAGCTCATTCTGGTTCCTGGCACAAGGATGCAGAGCAGCGATTTCGTCTGGGGGAACAGCAGTGCCGCCCCACACCCCCATCCCCACACCACAACACCATACCCGTTGAAGCAGTGGGCGGCAGTGAGGGCCCACGCGTGGCTCACCAACACCCCACCGCACACCAGCTCCCCGTGCAGCCACACCGACACCAGCCATGGCCAAGCCCCGCGCCGGGCCGCGCTGCCGCCCATGATGCGTCCTCTTGGGGCTGTGCTGTTAGCGGAGGGGTCCACCCGGCCCCCGCAGCGCTCTGAGGGGATAAAGCTGTGAGAAGTGTGGCCGTGGAGGGAGGGGGCAGCAGGGGTAGGACAAGCTGTCACGCCTCATCGTGCTCACAGAGGCGAGCGGGCGGTGGGCCGGGGGCACCCTGCGGGCCGGCAGCTGCCGACGCTAACCTCTGCCCCCCGGCACAGCGTGGGGCTGGGGGCGGTGGGGGTGGCGGGGGCTGCTGTCCCTGGCTCACCTGGCATCTCTGCTGCTATGCTGGGATTCGGGGCTGCCTTCGCCAGCACTGTGGAATGAGTTGGTGTGGTGGGTGGAGGCCACGTGCCCGCTGCCCTCAGTGCCACCCGATGTCCTCGTTGTCCCCAATGGCTCTGTGTCCCCAGTCTGTACCCCCAGTGTCCTGTCTCATTCCAGATCCTCCACCCCTCAGTCTGTCTGTGCCCTCGATCTCTCAATTCCACCCCGTATCTCCCTATTCCACTTCGATCCCTCTGTGATCTTTCCAGTGCTCCATCCCATTTCTGAACCCCCATTTCTCATCCCACCTCATCCCATACATCATCTCCAATGCCCCATCCGCATTTCCCCATCCCTCCCAAAACCTCCATCCCACAACTCTCATCTGGACCCCAGATCCCTCCTTCATCCCCAGTTCTTTTCCTCCTAATCCCACTCATGTTCCCAATCACCCCTCAATGCCTCCACTCCCATTTCCCCATCCCAATGCCTCCAGCCCTCAAATCTCACTCCACATTCCTCCCTCATCCCCAGTTCTTCTTCCCCTCATTCCACCACACAATGCTCCATCCTCCAACACCCCTCTCCCCTCTCACTCCATCACCCCCCCCAGCCTCCCCCTCCCATCCCATCACACCCTCACTGCCCCATATCCCCTCCAGGCAATCTGATGCCTCATTTGTTATTGTAGGGTCTCCCCTTTCCAGGAGGTGCCCACTCACGGCACTCCTGGAGGCGGTGCTGGCAGCGCTGGGCACTGAGCAGGGTGCAGGCAGGCTGAGTGCCCTGGGGGGGGCACAGGCGCAGGTAGGGGGCACATGCCTGGCTCAGAGCCCAGTGGCGTTGGGGCAGCTCGGGCAGATCCTGGGCATCCAGCAGGGCCTGGCAGCTGGGGGGCATGGCAGGGGGCATGGCAGGTGCTGCAGGGACAGTGAGGTTGTGGGCATCCTCACATCCTTATTGCCCCCTGCCCACCTCTGCCTGGGCCATGCCAGGGTGGGTGGGGAGGAGGCACGGTAGGGCTGTTGTGTTTTGAGAGGGTCTCCTGAGTGGGGTAGGGTCTCAGGGTATGTTTTGGGGGAGTATTTGGGGTGGGAAGAAAGGGTCTGGCAGTGTTTTGGGTAGGGCTTCAGTTTGGTTAGGATCTCAAGAGGATGGGGATCTGCTTGGGTAGGGTCTCTGGGCAGTGTTTCAGCAGGGTCTCTAGCAGACAGGGCACTGTTTTGGTAAAGCCTCTAGGGGTGGCAACTAATGGGGATATTGTCTGGGTAGGATCTACAGGGAATGGGGTAGGGCTGCGGGGAGATGAGACTCACGTGGGCAGCTTTGGGTGATGTTGGCACATGGAGGGAAGAGGCAGGGAGCACAGAGCCCGCAGGCACTCCGTTGCTTCTGTTGCTCAGCCAGTGCCTGCTCCAGTGCCAGCAGCGCGCTCCTCAGTGCCGCTTCCAACACCAGCGTCCCCCGGCTCGACAGCGCTGCAGGGGGCTCACTCAGAACACTGTGACCCCCACCCACAAAGCCCCCAGCCCACCACCCCTGGAGATGCCCCAGTATCTCCATGATGGGCGTTAGGTGGGCAAAGGCTCTGGCAGTCCCATTGGCATTGCTTGGGGTGATGTCACCTCCCCATGAGGTTGGCACATGGGTGGGTGGAGGTGGCATGGGTGGGATGGGGAGCTGAGCATCCTCTTTGTGCCACCCCCAAAGATAAAATAAATGAATCCCAGCTCCTATAGCTCCCCCCTAAAAACCCAGCCCAAATGATGCCCTGTGCCCACCGCTGGCACTGACCTTGCAAGACGCTAGCTGGCATGGGGTACAGCCTCTGGCCCATGGGAGCACCCCCAACCAGCTGTAGGAGCAGCAGCATCACAGGGGAGGACAGGTGGACCACGGGGACAGCACCCCACGTCCTCTTCCCTCCTTGCTCCATCCCAGCCGGGCAAAGGTTTTAGGGTGTGAGCCCTGAAGTGCCCGAGGCGGGCGAGGAGGCGTGGATATATACAGTGCCCCCCGGGTGGTGGGAGGAGAGAGGGGCCAGGGGAGCACAAACAGGCGAGTTCATTAATGTCGCGCCAAGATGCCAGCCCAGAGGGGGGGTCCGGGCTTGGGGACGCAGCTCGGGGCCTCAATGCCGCCTTTGTTCGACGGGGCCTCTGGGCGGGCAGCATCAGACGGGCGCTGCGCTCCGGCGCTGCCCGCGGCCCTTGATCATTTTCACGCCAATCTCGGCCCCGCCACCCTCCCTCCTCCCCAACAGTGCCCCCCGAACTCGGCCCCGGGCCTCGGGGAAGGGGCAGCTGGGAGCGGGGAGGAGGCGGGGGGGTCCGCGGGCGGGTGGGAACGCGACTGCAGTGGCGGCGGTGGCGGGCGCTTCAAAGGTGGTCGGCGGGCACCGAGATGAGGAGATGGGGGGCCCATAGGGCGGGGGGTGGCTTTGTGTCCCCGCAGCCCACGGTGCCGGACAGACCCTTCCCCCCCAGTGCCCGTGGCCCCAAGCTTTTTTCTGGATACCTCTTTTGCCACCCTCCCCATGTTCCCATGGCCACATCACCCACTTGGGGTGCCCGTGTCCCCAAACCCACTGGGGTCTGGCAATACCCACACCCCTATCTCTGCCCACGTCTCTCGCTCGGTCCCCATTAGAGGAAGGGGTGTCCACGTCCCTGTGCCCCCATCCCCATCCAAATTAGAAGAAGGGGTGCCCACGTCCCCATGCCCACTTAGGGTTGCCCGCAACCCATTCCCATCCCCATTAGGGACAGGGGTGCCCCCGTGCCCACAGCCGTGTTGCACTCCCCTCCCACTCCCCACCCCTCACCCCCGGTCCTAATTGTGCCAGCGGGGCGCTGACAATGCCGCTTCAGTGGCACATCAAAGGAGCGGCACTGGCGGCGTGCGAGGGCACCGCTGGCACCGGGACAGCCCCACGTGAAAGCTCCCACCTCGGCCCCCCTCTCTGCCTGCCTGGCATGGGGACACCGCAGGGACACGCTCCGGGGGGACACAGTGTCACCCCTCCACTGGGAGCGTCCCAACCCCCCGTCCTGCGTGGCCATGCTCGTATTGTCCCCATTCGCCCCTGGGTGATGTGAGGTCATGCAATGGGGTCAGCATTTGGTGCCCACAGAGGTGCTGCTCACCGGTCCCACGGCACCACTGTGCTCCCCCCCCGCCCAGCCTCGGTGCCGGTGCCAACCCCATTAACCTAATTGACGCAGGCGGTGGCAGTGGGACCCCAGAGCGGGTGGGACGTTGCCCCCGAGGCCCCCAATTGTCCGATAATTGGCGTGGGCAGCCGAGCCCGGCCGCCACCCTGGCGACATGCCCTGGCCGGGGGGGGGACACCGCGGGACGTCCTCTGGGGTGCCCACCTGGATGTGGGGGTGGCAACGATGGGGGGTCCTTTGTAGGCTGGCAAGGCGGTGGGAGACGACGGGAAAGCCCAGGGTGTGGAGTCCGGGTTGAGGGGAGCAGCTTCGGGGTGACTGTGGCTGTAGGGGGGGTATTTGGGGCTGGAGGGTCACATTTGGGGCTGGGGCAACGCCAGCAAAAGCCTGGCGCGGGGCGGGGGCGTGGCCTGCGATGGAGTGGGCAGGGGGCGTGGCTTAAGCGGTGTCGAGTGGGCGTGGTCGAGAAGGGGGGTGTGGCCATGAAGGGGGCGGGGCGCGGGGTCGGTGCAGGGGCGGCGGGCGGGGCGGCGCGGCCCGGGCCGGGGAGCGGGCGCGTTTGGGGCCGCTGCGGGCCTGCTGTAGCCGGGCCGGGTTAGGTTAGGGGCCATGGCGAGCTCGGAGCGCAGCGCGCTGCTCACGTACCGCCTGTGCGGCGGCTCCGGCGAAGACGAGCGGGGCCGGGAACGCGGCCGGGCCGCCGCCGCCGCCACCCCCCGCAAGCTGCCCACGTTCCTGGGCGTCGTGGTGCCCACGCTGCTCTCCATGTTCAGCGTCGTCCTCTTCCTGCGCCTCGGTGAGTATCGCCTGGACTCCTCGGTCCCGGGTCCTCCTTGGGCATCCCCTCTCTGCAGCCTCAGAGCCCACCCCCAGCTCCCCCGGCTGCGAACCCTTTGCTCCTCCTGCTCTGGGTCCCAGTGCCGCCCTGTGCTCCCCCACTCTGCTCCCAGTGTCTTCCCAGTGCCCTGCCCTGAGCATCCCAGTCTGGAATCTCAGTTCTCTCCCCCACGCCCTCCCGTTTAGGGGCTCCCAGCACCTTCCACATCCTCCAACCCCAGGATGAAGTTCCTGTACTCCATCCAGGTCTCTCCCAGTCTGGGGTCCCAGTGCTGTATGCCCTCCAACCACATACCCTTTCAGTCTGCAGCCCCAGGGCTCTCGTGGTACCTTCAGGGCAGGAACCCAGCACCCTTAGTCTGAAGGCCCCTGTCCCTGGGACAGGATTCCTGTGCCCCCCCAAATCCATTCCGTAAGTCAGATCCCAGTGTCTTTGTGTCCCCCCGCCCCACAGTACTGGGACCCCACTGCTCTGAGCATCCCTCAGTGCTGCACCCCAGTGCCCTCTGTGTTCCCTGTGGTGTTCCCAGGGCTGCACCCTTCTATCATGCCCCAGAGTTGGGCCTC